ATTGAAGGGATATTGCTTCGGTCCCTATAAGAGAGGCAAATTAATTCACAAAGCAAACAAAGGGGTATCCCATCACCCCCCCCCCCCCCCCAAATCAAGGCTTTTTATTTCCAATTTAAATTTCTATTTCTTAAGTGCTTCAGTAGGAATATTAGAGTATAAGGGAAGTAAATTCAGTGACAGAGTTCTTCGTATAAACCCATGTCCTTTAACAGAAACATCAAAGTGGTCTTGCATTTAAACTTAACCAACAGTTCATCCCACAGCATGAGGATAATATTTTGCAAAAGCTATTTGTGTATTATTCAGATGTATTTTTCAGAAGTACATTCCAACTGATACAGTTCATGAGATATAACTAAAAACAGGGCAAAAGAAGAAATAAAGCATCACCCTCCAGCAGATGAGCATAGTGAATGAGAATACCTAGATCAAAGAAGGGGTACTGTAAGAAGCATAGCTTAAAATTAGTTCCCTGGGAACAGGAACTGCTAACTATGAAAGAGAACCTGTGAGCTGAGTCAAGCCGGTCAAAACAACAACTCAGGCTGGACAAGGCCACAGGACACCCCTTGGCCCAGCTCCTGCCAGCAGGAGCATTTTGCATCTAATCATTCTGCTTCAGCAAAACTACTCTTCTGGGTACCAGCAGTGACAAGAAACACACCTACTTTTCCTCCCTTTACCCAAGGACATCACTCACCACAGGCATATAAGATGGATACATCCCTCCAATAACAAACATGACCAGCATGGTACCCAGAAAGAAAGAGAAGTGTCTGCGCATGATGTGCCAGGGTACTACAGTGGGGGATGTATCAACACGGTTCCGAGTATACATGTCAAAGTCCCAGTGCATCTAAAGAACAGAAGAAAACCACCAGACATTTACCAACCATGCTCAAAGCTGCTTTTATCAAGGGAAGAAGTGTTTTACAGCATTCACAAAACTGCCAGAAGCTGTTTCATCTCCACCTTGAAAATGGAGTTAAAGCCACAGAGGAGGCAAGCGATTTACCTACAGTCATAGCAAGTTGTCAGTTACAGTAAAATTCGGGACTTTAAATTCCATCCTATACTTACACCAGGTAATATGCTTAATTACAGGGTAGCAGCAGCTTTTATTTGTATACATAATCACTGTATTATATTTGTTTCCCAACACCATTGAAAAGGCATGGTATAAACTGGTACCCTCATTTATAGAACATACCCAAACAGAAGTAGCAGTGTAATTTCAAACAAAGAAGCAACTACTGTCACTTGGAGGCTGGTTTCTCAAAACAAGTAGGGTACCTGCTGCTACTGTCTCTACTGTTAGTATGAAGAGGTCAAGTCAATCACAAAGTTCAGTAATCACATTTAGATGGCAGTCATTCACAGAAAGATCCAGCACTAACTGAAAAGTTAATCCTGACAAGGAGTTTGAAGAACTTAAGAGAAATTGAGCGCCTATGTTAACTTTCAAAGTCTAAAGGATATCTTGCAAAATTTCTTCAGAGAAAACCACCTTATTTGTATTCTAGCCCACAAAAGACAGAAGAAAACCCCACCAAACAAACCCTGGGGTAATAAAGCAGCAATAGCTACTACCATTGTACTAAAAGGACTTTACTTAAACAATGGCTTCTTTGCTAAATGATTCTGAACTAAACTCTCACACCGAGTCAGATCAGGCACAGAAAATGGATGAGAGTTTTCCTACGGATAAACTTTTTTAGTCTCCCTCCTCATACGTAGTAAGACATTAAGAGTCCTCAGTGCCTTCAAAATATCTACCCTGAGGGCTATAGCCTCCATCCAAATGACCAATTGTCCATGCTTGCGTAGGGAACACACACCTGAACTTGGCAATGCAATTACACAAAGAATTAAACAGAAAGCACTAACAAAGATGTGCATGTTAGCATTTAATAACAGTAGTATGGATTAGCAGCTTGAAAAGTGCTACTAGCATTCCTACCGGCTCTCCCCAGTTATGCCTCATGTCTGGCTGGTCCCACTTGTACCAGGGGTCTCTCTCATGCTGAGACTTATCAGGGAGTTTGGGATAATCACCATAACTGTGAGAAACAGACAAAAAAAAATCTCAAACATATAAGAAATCTGTATTAATTTAGACATATTTTATAGGAGACACTATAGGATAGGCTTATGAAAATGGGAGCATTGCTTTGATTTTACAGCTTCCATGAATATGAATTTTTAGATGCATACATGCAACTACCACAACCATTACTGATGTCACTGTAGCAAAGAGCATTCCCCCAGTGTGTCCTTTTGGGCTATGCTAGCTGGAAGAAAATGCAAGCTAGAGTGAAGAACAGAACTGTAGCTGGTTTGCCCATGCCACAGCATTCCCTAACATTTAAATACTTCCTGAAATTTTTATTCTAGAGATAGCTTTCAATTCATCCCTGTTAGCCCTGCATTACATCAGCATACAAAGCCTCTCATACAGCATTTTAGTCATGCGGATCTCCAACTCATTCCACCTGTTCCTGTATTAAAAGTGCTTTCAAGCTCTAAGCTCACAGCACCTGCGGGCGCTCATCAGAAGCCAGAAGCACAGAGCCACAGATGCTGCTGGTCACCGGACCACCCCAGCTCACCCGAAGCCGTCGTCAGGGTAGGGCTCATAATCCTCCACCCGCATGTTGTACTTCTTCGCGGCAGCTGCCCGCTCCTCCGGCGTGCGAGGATACGGCCCGGGCAACATGTCCTTGGTCATCTGCGAGGCTGTCGGGAGAGCAACACGGCCGGATGGGCACGGGCCCCGCCGGCAGCGGCGGCTGGGCCGGGGAGGTCGCGCTGCCCTCACCAGCGCCACCGGCTCAAGGACACCCACCCCGCCGCCTGTCAAGGCGTGCCGCTGCCTCTTCCCCGCTCACTCACCCGCCCGCACCCCCGCGGGCTCCGCCACGGCAGCCCGCGCCAACTGCAGCCGGGCAGCTGCCCGCTGCCAGAGGACACTCCGTAGCCCAGCCACCGCCATGCCCGAAACCGCGCAAGCGCGGCCGACGGCGGCCGGTAGGGACATAGGAGCACGGGTGATGGGCGGGGCTATCCAGGTGTGGGCGTGGTTATAGGGGCGGGGCTAGAGCGGGAGGCCGGGCTAGGGCAGTGTACAGCATACCCTCCCTCCGGTGCAGGGTATTAATTAATTAATCAGTCACTGCTGTTATAATATCGACATAACAGCTAATGGACGGAAAGGGCATCAGTGCGATATTTCGCTCTGTCATCGTCTGGAGCGGGATAATGGGAATTTATGTCAGGTATTACCTTGCAGATGGGGGGCAGCCTCCTGCGGAGAGCTGGGTCGATGCTCAGCCGGATCAATGCTGTGGCTGGCGGCGTTATGCAAATTGCCTGCTTTGTATCAGTATCAATATTATTAAAGTTAATACCCAAATGTAATCGTCTTATCCCTGTGCAGCCAGGGAAATTCGAACAGCTGAAATGGTGCGTTAATTTAGTGATGCTATTCTTCAAACAAGCAATACATTATTGCAGATAAAATCGATAGGAGCATTAAAGGCTTTTGCAGTTTACTTCATTATGTAAACTCTGTGGTAGTTGAACTCATTTTCCTTCAGTTATTCACATCAGCCATAATGGGTAATGTCTCTATAACGATCTACATTATAAACTTTTGCAGCTCAAAAACTATGAGTGACAATTTGTCATTAGAGCTGTTCCTTCTAATAACAACATTAATTGTACACCTACTAATTGAATGAAGAGAGCAATGAATCACAAGAATATATCTGAGATTCAGTGTGCCTGAGGTGGGGGCATTGTCACAGGCTAGAACAGGATTCTTCCACTTATCCCAAAGAAAGGCCTCATCACATTGTTTTAGGGATGGTATCTTAATTCAGCCAACTCTCTTGCAACCAAATTTGCAGTGAAGTATGTCAGTTAGTTACCTAATAACTGGAGCCCAACCCTCCATTGCAGAAGCTGCTGGCAATTTCCATGCCTGTCCCACCTCTGCAGCGTGCGGCATGCTGGGGACAGCAGTGTTGCGCTGGAAGTGGGGACACTCGGTTCCCAGATGCACTGTCAATCTGGGCTCAAGAGCTTGCTGCAGGTTTGGATCGTAGTCATCTGCTCCTTGCACTTGCTCTTCACCTCTAGGTATTTACTTTATGGCTTATGTCTGAGTCTTTCACAGCTTGGCTCAAGCTTTCACAGCTGTGGCTCAAGCTTCTTAAGCACCCAAATATATTTGCAAATGTGTTGTAAAGATTTTTCTTAATCTGTACAGGAGCAGTCGTGTAGATTTAAAGAGTGATGGGCATGCATTTTCATGTAAACTAAGCATACTAATACATTTTGGAAGGGCAGAGGAAAATAGATCATGTTATTCTCATGAAAGTAAAGTTCTACACAGCCAGAATACCAAATCCATCTACCGTAAAATGAAAATCACTGAATGATCGAAATGTTCTCAAGACCTGATGGCCAACATGGCACTCATTCTTGGGAAAGAGCTATCATTGTTCTGGGTGCTTGCAGCTTACAAGCAAAATGTAGACTTTGCCTCACATAATAAACTCACACAAATTCAATAGCTCTGACGCTGAGCACACAGCTCATGAAATCTTACTAAACTGATGTAGTCACACAACACTTGCCTTTTTCCCTAGGGATGTGGTGGTGGAGCAGCTTCAAGGAGCTGCACTACTGCCCGTCGCGAGGCCCGGGCTGCCAGCTGAAGGCGTGCAGGGCGGCAAAGCGACGAGACACGAGGAGCACAGCGATCCCGCCTGATTCCTGCAGTGGGTTTTTCCCGCGTGCGCTCCCAGATCCAAAGATGCCCCAAAACCCCGGGACGGGCCAACAGGCGGAGGGGAGCAGATACGGACACCAATCTCCGCCCGCGCGGGGGCGCTGCTCGCCGACGTCGCCGCCGCCGCTCCCTCCTCCCCTCTCCATGGTGCCCCACAGCCTCCCGCCCTCTCCCCTCGTTTCCGGAGTTGTCGTTGTCGGCCAACTTCCGTTTCCGGCTTTCTAGTTCCGGGTTCTCCGGTGGAGGCTGCGATGGCTGCGGCCTCGTCCTCCTCGGCGGCGACCCCGGGCTGCCGGGAGGGCCCGGCGGTAGCGGCAGGGCCTGGCTGGAGCGACTCCCAGTTCCGTCGTTACTCCTTCGAGACGCGGCCCATCCCGCGGCTCAGCCACAGCGATCCCCGCGCCGAGGAGCTCATCGAGAACGAGGTGAGGTGAGCAGCGGTGCCCAGCCCGGCTTTGGGCCGGTGGCTTGTGCTTGGCGGTGTGGGGGCTGCTAGCCCTGCCCGTCAGCCCTCCTGGCTCCGGATGCCGTCCCGGAGGTACTCGCCTCTGGCACGTTTCTCTTAGTGAACGTTTCTTCGTGGTGCTGCAGAGTTGAGTTCTGAAATTTACAGGAAACGTTTGCTTTAAGTGCTTAGTTGTCGGGATGGAAACTGTGGAAATACTGTGTATGGACACATGTTTGTTATGTTATAAGCGAGAGTGGCCACAGGTGTGAGGGTTGCCTTGCAATACCAGGTCTTGCATTGGTTCTGGATAAGCTCAGTCTCATTCTGGTAACATTGGTGTATGATTTTGTTTTTAAAGAAAGCCTGCAAGAAAGCAAGCTGTGCATGCACACCTTGGAAACACAACAGCTGTCCTTCTGCATTAGGTTGTTAACTGTGTATAGGTGAGGAGATAGGTGATGTCCTTTCTCTTTCTTTTGTAGTGTTGTGGGGTTTGGTTTGTTTCTGTTTTGTTTTTTTTTTTTTTTTTGTGTAGAAGAGATGGGGTAATGTCAGGGTTTTGGGTTGGCTGTGATCCCCTGTGAAAAAAGAAATTTGTGCTGGTTTTGGATTCAGGGATACCTTTTTGTCAGTATTTATCCCTTCATAGCTGAGGCTGGAAATAAACAGAATATACTGCATCTCCTTGCTACGTGGCAGGAGCAGAAACTGTTCCCAGCTAGTGTTTGTCTAACCTCATGTGTTAGAGATTAACTAAGTAGGTAGTGGAATCTGTCCCATTGCTACCAGGAGTTTTCTGTGGGAGCAGGCCACCACTTCCTTAGAGCTTCCAGTCATGTTTTGCTTGATTTTACTCCCAGACCAAGGTATCCAATTACTGTAAACACCTTTTCCAATTCTTTGTTTTCAAAGAGCATTTGTGTGGTTGTAGTAATGAATGTGAACGTTCTCAAGTTCAAGAGGTACTTGAATCAATAGACTTCCTGTTTCTCTCCAGGAGCCAGTGGTGCTGACAGATACGAATCTGGTTTATCCTGCTCTGAAATGGGACCTGGACTACCTCCAGGAAAACATTGGCAATGGGGACTTCTCAGTGTATAGTGCCAGCACACACAAGTTCTTGTACTACGATGAGAAGAAGATGGCCAATTTTAAGAACTTCAAGCCCAAATCAAGCAGGGAAGAGATGAAGTTTGCTGAGTTTGTGGACAGACTCAAAGAAATTCAACAGAAAGGGAGTGCTGAGAGGTAAGTGATGTGTGGAGGTTTCTTTGTTTCTGCAGCCTGAGTAGGGGTTACGTTTCTCTTTAGTGAGTGTTGATCCTGCAGGGCTGCTAGTTGACAGCAGCCTTGTTACCTGATTAAAAAAGTCATCCCACTAATTAATCAAACTCTTCACATTACCTTCAGAGATTTTTATTTTTTTCCCTTCTCTTTCCTTTTTGTCCAAGGCAGGGTTTGCATAGAGAAGGCCTTGAGCTTCACTTGTTTTTGACAGAGTTTGGTATCTGATAAAAGATACAGGCCCTAGCACTCAGCCTGTTTTACAGAATACCAAGGCAGCTGGTGCCAACCCTCTTTCAGAAACATGAGAAAGGTTGCATATGTGCTCTGTGTTTGGTGGTGGTGATAGCCTGCGTTACTAACAGAGCTGTAAGATAATGAGAGGAGCTTCACATTTACACAGAATATAACTACTGACAATTGTACTTAAACCCTCAGTTAACTTTATCAGCCCTTTAAAAGGACTTAGTGATACTTAATTGGAAGCAACTCAATGCCTGTGTCCACTTCTCATGTGTGACTTTCTCTTCTTTCTTGCCTTTGGGTGTGCTTTTTTGAAGAGAAAAAGCAGTCCTTGAGCTTAAAAATGCATTTCTCTGCCAGCATTGCAGACAGTCTGTAATAGTGCAATTGCTAATACAGATGTTTGATTCTGCTGATTCTCTATGTCTAAACATAAACATGGTTTTAAAGTAACTCAATACTGAAATGTGCTGAGTTTCCTGAGCCCTTTTTTGGTCTCACACACTTGTAGCAGAAGAAGTAACTGTTATCACAGATGAGTTAAAGTGGTAGTATTTATGTGGGGGTTATTCATGAGTGTGTTTGATATTTGAGAGTGGCCAGTCTGTTTACAGTATCCTGCTCTTGCACTGCAAACGAGTTGCTCTTGCTCTAAAATGACCTTTTCCCCTTGTGATTGTTCAAGCAGAACTGAATTCTGTTCCCTTCTGTACCAAAAAGTCTTTCAGCAAAGTTTGCGGACTCTTTGAAGCTCTTTCCTTCCAGAGCTGTTTATGGTATGTGGTGATAGAACAGAATCTTGAGAATTATGTCCCTTTGCTTGGAGATCTGTCTAAAGAGATGCAGAGATAGGTCTTTATGTTCATTACAAAACTTGATTTTTGCTTATCTGGGAAAATACAGGCTATATCTGCAGCAAACCCTCAATGACACAGTTGGAAGGAAGATTGTGGTGGATTTCCTTGGTTTCAACTGGAACTGGATTAACAAGCAGCAAGGGAAACGTGGTTGGGGTCAACTGACTTCTAACTTGCTTCTTATTGGCATGGAAGGTAAGCATTTTCCTCTGCGCTGAGGAGAAAGGGCAAAGATTTGGTCAGCAGTTCTATATTTCAGTTCCAGAAGGTCTTTCAGATGGAATTTCCATTAGTTTAGAAGCGTTCCTTCAGAGCAGATGGTTTAAAGCTTTGGGCTGTCACAACTTAACTTGGATTACAGAGTGGAAATAACCAAAGAAATAGCCTGTGCTTCCCTAGGCGTGTACTGTGAATGCATGAATTGTCTGCTTATGGAAAAGTTCTGTGTGATGCTGGTAAAGCTGTGTTTTTGGTAATTTATTCTGAGCTTCTTCTTAGCATGTTGAATGTCTACACAGGAGGAAGTGTCGATTGTTCTGTGAAGCATTTGTTCTTCTTTGAGCTGGTACACTGTGGGAAGGAATTCTTTCAGTTAAGAGCTGAGTTTCTTCTAAGAAGGTTAGAGGGCACTGGGGAGCTTGAAGATGGATAAATCCTAAAAATGGTTGAATAGAGTGGAGTTCTAAATCCATGTGAAGACTGATTTATAGGCGTGTTAGAATTCAGAGGTACCACTACACTGTTGACAAGGAGAGCATTCCAGTAGAAAGTAATCGCAGTACCTGGGTAAGGAGTGTACACAGTTTTGTGAAGTGGGATGGCCTGTAATCACATGGCTGTCACATCCAGTTACAGTTGTCCAGTTGTAATTACTTAGCCATTCTTGACTGTTCAGTTCTCACAGCAGATGTTTTTTCCCCTTTGCAACAAGTCATTTTTAATTTATGGGAGTTTCTTTGCCACTTCTTTTACTAGCTGAGAGAAAAGTTAACACAGCAGCCTTCCAGTATCTGAAGGGGGCTTATAAGGATGCTGGGGAGGGACCCTTCATTAGGGACTGTAATGATAGGACAAGGGGTAACGGGTTAAAATTTAAACAGGGGAAGTTTAGATTGGATATAAGAAAGGAGTTCTTTAAGGGTGGTGAGGCACTGGAATGGGTTGCCCAGGGAAGCTGTGAATGCTCCATCCCTGGCTGTGTTCAAGGCCAGGTTGGACAGAGCCTTGGGTGACATGGTTTACAGACATGGTGTGTCTGCCCATGGCAGGGGTGTTGGAACTAGATGATATTAAGGTCCTTTCCAACCCTAACTATTCTATGATTCTATAAAAGTGCTGCACTAGCACTTCCTTAAAGGTTATAACATGATCACTAAAGTCCTGTTATCAACAGCTTATGCATAAGAACAAATGAATCTTGAACTCGTGTGTGCTAAAGAATGGGGTGTCTTTACATGAGCATGCAATTGTGTGATCTCTTTAGGGAAGTTATGGGTTAAATGTTATCTTAATTCTCTGTAGTGAAAGCACATATGAAGAGCAAGCTCAAAGAATAATATCTGAATTAGCAGACATCCTGCAAAATGTGATGGGGACAAAATGCAGCACTGTATTTAAAGGTTTGATTAAATTCAAGATCTAGTATTGACAGCCAAGCTTCAGAACCATTAATCATACTGAGAAGGTGCTGCTGTTGGGAGCTCAGTGACAAAGAAATTTGTTTACTTGTTTTCTTGCAAAACTACTGTGACTTTTTCTAAAATCAGGCTGTTGGACTCCTTTTCTCTAAACTAGTAATTTTTGAAAGTCTGTTCCACAACTTGTCATCTAAACAGTGTTTTATGAAAAAGTTTCCAGTCAATGTTCAGCATCTGCTGTTCATGGTAACAAGCTGGAAATCTTAATATGGTAGAGCATAAGTTGCTGAATATGGATTTAGAATGGAAATTAAGTGGAGTAGCAACTGCTCAATGAAGGCTGACTGATACAGTGATCAGTTTGTTATGTTCCTGTGGTCATTTTCCTTGTTTAGTTTTCAGAATATGTGGGAGTGTATTTGCTGTCTTTAGCAAGGAACATAACTTGCTTCTATCTTTCATACCTGTACATTGAGTGTCTTGTTTATCATCTTTTCTCTATAGGGAATGTGACACCAGCTCACTATGATGAGCAGCAGAACTTCTTTGCTCAGATTAAGGGTTATAAGAGGTGTATCCTGTTCCCTCCTGATCAGTTTGAATGCCTCTACCCTTATCCTGTGCACCATCCCTGCGACAGACAGAGCCAGGTGAGAGTAGCAGATCTGTTCTCCATGCCAAAAAAGGGCATTTGTGAAGATGCTGGATGGGAGGAAACCACACTGAAATTAAATCCACACACCACTGGCTGAGCTTTTGCAAAACCTGTGTTTAGATCTGTTAACTGGTGAATACACTGAGGATAGTTGGAAGAACTAGTGGTATTTCAGTATATGTCTGGTCCTGACTTGCAAGTGCTAGGGCTGTAAACATCTCCTTACTGATATTCCAACTGGACTGCAGTTACTACTTTCTTCTGTTTTAGCAATCACTTGGTCAAACACAGATTTGCTCAAATTACAGGACCCCTGTCTAAGTTGGTGGTACTTTGAGGAGTGGAGTTCAGACACGAATGGGAATGTAAAAGCTATATAGGGAAGATAAGGATGGTTTGATGCTGAGAGCCAGTAATGAGGACTGTCACTGCAGTAAGTTCTTCTGAGTTTCTTAATGTTTTCTTCTATTAGGTGGACTTTGACAATCCTGACTATGAGAAGTTTCCGAACTTCCGGAGTGTGGTTGGCTATGAGACGGTGGTGGGTCCAGGGGATGTGCTATACATACCTATGTACTGGTAAGAAGGCTGGTGGGATGCAGTGACCAGCAAACAGAGATTTAAAATGCCTTCTGCTTAAAGTGTTGGGTTGGCTCTTAGACAATTTTGTTTTGACTTCTTCAGTAAGTATGATATTTTCTATGATATCTTGGGCCAATCTTCTTTCTGCTTCTTATCTGTCAGATGGGAGTGGTAATTCTTCCTGACACCACATTACTGTGCAAATACTCCACTAACATGTACAAGAAAAGGATCTGTATTTAAATAATGAGAGCTTTCCAGAAGTTCCAAGGTCTTGATAGGGCAAGGCTTGCCTAGTGCTGTCTGAACTCATCCATCCAAGGTATTTCACTATAAGTTATAGCAATAGTTTCTTTTCCTTTCTGTGTGGTTTCCATGCAGGTGGCACCACATTGAGTCTCTCCTGAATGGGGGGATTACCATCACTGTGAACTTCTGGTACAAGGTGAGTACAAGCACCTTCCTGCGCAGCCTGGATAGCTCTGTCCCAGGGGATTTTTTTCAGGTAGAGATGTATTGGCACGTGTTGTCAGTATGAGAACTTAATTGCACCGAATCCTTTGCTTTAAAGCTGAAAGCTACTTTCTCCCTTTTGAGTGTTATGTGAAGAACTAGGTGGCTGGGAGAAGGTGGAGTAATCTGCTAATTCAGGAAGCTGCAATGAGCTATTTTTGATATTTCAGGGTGCCCCAACCCCAAAGAGAATTGAGTATCCGTTAAAGGCTCATCAGAAAGTGGCGATAATGAGGAACATTGAGAAGATGTTGGGAGAAGCCTTAGGAAATCCACAAGAGGTACAAAAAAAAAAGCCAACATACAGTCACTGCTGTTGAAATCATTATGGCTTATTGCAGAACTCGAGATGCCAACTATTTGGCTCTGCAGGTGTCACAGTGAGGGTAGGAGAAAGGGTTGCTCTGTTGCTGTGAATGGTTCTTCCTGCTGTCTTCAGAAGGTCCTTTGGCTGCAAAAAGGCAAGCTCTTTAAATTATAATTCTGGAGAGGACCTCTACAATGGTGTAATTGTTCTTGTATGTGGGGAAAGGTGTACTTTGGCTTTGGGTACTGCCAGGAAGGTGTTGCTCCCAAACCCTGCTTAGCCTTATGTGCAGCAACAATGCCCAGTGTTTATCAAAACTGTTTTACCTGCTGAATCCAAGTCTCTTTGACTAAGATAAATCTCTTCTGTTAAGCCATGTGCTTCAGTCATCTCTGAATTCTTTGCAATTTTAACCAACTGGTATTTCAGAAAAACAGATTGAAGTTGTATAAGTATGCTTTTGAAGATGTCCTGCTCATCTGAAAGTGGAAAATCTGGATGTGAATAGAAATGTTTTTACGGTCTGTAACCTTACCACTGTTCAGGAACTCCTCTTTGGCGCACTTATCGTGCCTCTCCCCTGAGATTATTTTATTGCCATAGCATGCTGAACTTCCCTCAGTGATCAGACAGTACTGAGAAATGGGAGTGGTCTTGACTGAAAACAAAACCTTAGCAAAATCGTCAGTCCTAGCGTTCCTTCCAAGTGACCCCAAGGACCAGAGAGGATTCAGTAAGTAAGAATGTTCCTTCTCTGCCCTGCAAAAAGCAACCCCTGATGTCTACTGGCTCCTTTAAATAGCATCTGCTGAGAAATTGCAAATCTAGGGTGGAAAGTTGAAAAGTTTCAAACAAATACTGGTGATGCAGTATTTTGGTGGAAAAAGTTGGGTGTCGGCAGAGAACCCTGCAGTTTTGGTAGGGTATTTGTGGATTTGCTCAGGGGTGCCCCAGTGTTTTATGTAGAAGATATTTCAAAATTGATTTGGTGTACCTTAGGTTCAGTTTGTGCATTGATATCCTCTGTCCTGGGCTGCTCAGCTCATAAGGTTGCAGAGGGAGCAGGCTCTGCAGCTGCCGTGGCAGTATATCTGTCCCAGCTAATGATTTGTTTTTGCTTTGAACAGGTGGGTCCCTTGTTGAATATGATGATTAAGGGACGATATGACTAATGCCTGGCTGCCGGGTGACTGATGTTGGAGCTGCTTTGTTCACAAGCAATGGAAGATACTGAGCGCTAGTATTGCACGCAGCACTTAACAGACTGATGGGTTTCCTGACCTATCCCTGCCCCAGTACAGTAAAGGGGGCTACTGGAACTGCAAAACTGTTAGTACCCCATTCATCCTCCATTCTCATTTAACCGAACCTCCCAAGAAAGAGTCTGCACTTGCTGGAAGCTGGATTCATGCTCGCTAACTTGTTTTTTCTCCCTCTGCCCTGTTTGCCACAACAAGGAGCATGATTTCTGGCATTTGGATGTGTTGCTTCAGGATTTTCAGGCATTTGAAGAAGACCTTGGAGGGGAACCAGGCGTGATCTTGTTTCCTCAGCCTCAGGGGGTTTGGACCTCCTGGTTGGGTTTGTGGATTGGTGCCTGCAGTGAATGTAATATGGGTATTACAGGTTTAAAAGTCCTCTGTTGTTAGAGGACCTGTCCATGCTCAACTCTTGGCACCTTTTTGTAAAATGGAAACAAACATAGCCTGTGTGTGATGATCAACTGCACAAATGCTTTGATTTCTTCAACTTAGGATATCCATGCTTTGGACTTAGTACAGGGTAGAGATCAGAGTGAATTCATCTAGCGTGTGAGCACCAAATCCAATGCTCTCCAAATAACATCTGTGTTGTAGGAGTCTAGATAAACCTCCTTTCCAACAGCTTTTTCTGGAAAGTGAAGGCTTCTTTCCCACTCTTCTGAAGCTGCAGTGTGGTTGAAGGGGGATATACATTATGAAGAGGGATGCATTAATGCTGAGGCACTCTCCAAGTCTTGAATGGTTAAGCCCTATTTTCAAATTAAATTCCCCAGGGGTGCCGAGCTAGACCGTCAAAACGCAGCATCAGACAGGTACAGAGCCTCTCTTCTCTCCTCACCAGGGGTGCTGGCTCCTTGGAGTAACATGGGAAAGTGCCCTTTTTACTGAAACTGCAAGAACTCAAGTGTGTGTGGCTGCGCACAGATGCGCGTGTTTGTGTGATGATGTGTGGCTCCTGTCCATCAGTTATTCCATGCCAGTGTGTGGTTCCCTTCCTTGTACAGTCATGTGAAAGAGGTCAGGGCTTTCTGTTTAAATGTGGTTAAGTTTATCTTGATCCTTTTTGTGTTCTGGGACTTGACATGGCAGGCTGGGAAGTGACCGGAGAACCAGACAAGCCTCTGTTTAAGAATTCTTAGCAATGACCCTCAAAAATGATTTTGCTTTCTTCCTCCTCTTGCAGACAAAAGCCTTAGACTCATATGGAGACTGGCTTTTTATTCCCTGAGGTGTGCTGCACTGCTGTCCCTGGTTTAGGGGGTGGTGCAAAGGTCTTGTATGTTTGATGCGGTTGTAATGGGTCCCAAGAACCAGAGGTGAAAGAAGCTGTTTCATAGCCCATATATCTCATCCCAGGGAATAGTGGGGAAGTCATCCTGTTGAGACTTCCCAGCATTTTTCCTATTGTTCTTTGAGGCTTGTTCTGACATTATTCTGATAAAAGCATTGAGAACATGGCACTCAAGAAGTGTCTTTGGCCTCATGTTCCATCCTTTGGTGGGACAGCTCATGCACCACTTGCAGTGAGCTTGTCTTGCGCAAAGGTGAAAGGCTTCTTAAACAGGAGGTCCCAAGGGCTAGTTTTCTCGCTGCTTTGCAGGTCAGAACAGATGAATTGTAATTGGCATGTGCAGGGTTCTTGTTTAAGAAATGTATCTATGTCACCCAGTCATGACTGCCATGTTATTTGTTGCAGACTCTCCAGAGCTGTGGTTAGACCCAGATGAAGGTCACTCAGCTGGATACTTATCAGTGTTCAGCCTTTGGGCAGGTGCGAAAAAAGGCTAAGCTGCTGACTCTTGCCAAAAGCCAGGCCTTCCCAGGAATCCTGGGCACATGCCCTTGGCTGAAAGATGCTCAAATGAAGTCTCATCTCTGTGCTGTTAACACACAGTAGTCACCAGTACTACTTGTTAGACACCATCAGCTCTTGAAGCTCAGGGTGGGAGTTCATATCCCATGTGGAGAGAGAATGGTACTTTAGGATGCTTTTTTTTTCTTTATTTGCCAAAGGTCTAACTCTTAAAGTGTCTGAGCAGGTTTTGCTGCACTTGATTTCGTGAAAGCTCATTTACAATGCACTGATGGACTGACTCCCTGCCCCTTCCCTTTTCACCTTGTGCTTTCAATGCCCCTTGCCATGGTATTCGGAAGCTGTGTGTTCTCTGCTAGGGGTATGTGTGCAGGGGGTGGGGCGTGACAAACACACGGTACCTTCTGAAGTGTAGTTCTTAAATACAACCAATGTTGAACAACAAACTGTGTGGCTTTTATTTTGTGAGTGGCTGTATATGAGAGCTATGTGAGAGATGCATGTATAAAGCTACCTTTCAGTAGTTTCTAGTAACTCCACTGATGTTCTTCACTGGTGAAAGCTGCTGGTCTCCAGCTATGCCTTCAAAACAGCAATACCAGTTGAGTTATCATAGGTCTTCACAACTTTCCCCATACTACTTCTCTAAGCCTGAAACGAAAGCTGGGAGTAAGATGGTATCCTTGAACCCTGTCACCAAGAAGTGTGTGTGAGGAGGGAACACATTTCCCTCCCTGCTGACCTTAATGGAGTCACCATGCTCTGGTCACTGACAGAATGATGGAGCAAACTACACAATCCTGTCTAATGTATTCTATCAGCTGCTTATCTATTGGGTTACCTTGTTCTCAATGTTGTCCTTTATCCAATTCAGACATTGGTCAAAGAGATTTTGGGCAGGAGGCTTTGTTTGTGTACCTCTGCTGTATGTTAGCAGCCTTGGGTGGTGGAGTCCTCTCTACCTAATAAAAGCACGTGTTATCTTATGGTAATATTAACTCTACAGCAATCAGTGAAACGTCGGCTAAATCTGAACAAATTTCTAACATATAGTAAAATGGGGAAGACCTGAATAGAGATTAGGGATGTTGGTGTAGTGTGGGGGAGAGACAACTGTCTGAACCTGGGCTACCACAACTGGCATTGTCCTCTCACAGTCTTGGGGGACAGGGTGAATGTGGAAGTAGTAGGAAAGACAGGAGTCTTCTGTAACCATGGGTGTTCGCCCTTCTCTGCTGAGCCTGCTGGCATCATGCTCTGAATGCACACTTGCTTCTGTTCCACTGACCTTAGTGGTCTGTTAGACTGATCCTGTAGTCTTTCTGTTGTGCACATGGCTCTTGGGTAACATGTTTGGCTAGCACCACAAAGCCCAGAAGTGTCTCAGGTTGTGCTGAGAAACAGAAGAAACATGAGAACTGTCATTTGAAAACCAGATTGGACTCCAAGATTTTTCTCTTTCACTCTTGTTTGGTTTTATTACCTTAGGTCCTTGAATACCTTTCTTCTCTTGTTCCCCCCCCATTTCTCTATTCCTTGAGAAGTGGGATTTTTTTTTCTGAGGATAAATAATCCTTATAGATTATGGCTGTTGAAGAGCCATGATCCCTTGGAAAGAGAAGAGACTCGGTGTTTAGACTGATGCACTATTTTACCCCTTGGTGACCAGGCTCAGTGCAGTGATTACCCAGGAAATTTGGAGTGATAAAACAGATTCAGGGTGAAGCCAGCAGGCCAGGGTTGAGGAGGTATGAGACATAGCTGCACTGCAGAGGCAATCCAACAGGTGCAGATGAGGGGGGAGACCCTCAGCATCAAAGCAGCTCTTGAGGGATACAGGGACAGGCCTGGGCCAAGACTGCTGCTGCTTTCTTTGCAGTAGCTCTTATCAATGAATTAGCCAACCTTGAACACAGTCAACTGCTCTTTAAAATCCTAGGATGGGGATGGTGCACTCGTGGTCATGACAGTTTCTTGGCAGGCCCTTAGGCTGATACATGTGCAACCCATGCTGTAACCCCAGCTCTGGAAGCAGAGCAGCAACTGCCGCAGGGGATACTGCCTTTGTATGTGTGTTTTTTTCAAAGTGCTTTTCCCTAAGACTCCCCTCTGTGTGTGAGGAGCTCCTTGCACTCTGGTTTGCGGTCTTCTTCTATTCCTGTTTTGGAGATGGCACCTTTGTCACCATTGTCCTGGGAAGTCCTGAAGTCACCATGAGTGCTTTTCTGCATTGATGCTGCCTAGAAGAGAAGGGAAAAAGATGCTGTTACTGTGACAAACACATGCAAAGTAAGTTCTAATTACTGCCTCACAAAGTCAAATATTTGTTGCAAGCAGAGAACTAATTGCAGGGGGAGGGAGCGGAAGTGGAGGCTCTTGGAGTGTAAGTGGAACAGATGCCCGTACGCCTTGGGGAAACGCAGCTTTCCTCTACAAATCAGAGCTTTAAATTACAAGGCTTTTACCAACGAGAACAGTTGTGGGAAGTCGTCTGCTCTCATTTGCGTAATGGCTTCTGTCACTGGTGATTAGACACAGGATGAAGGAAAAGAAATTTGACAATTAGGAATGAGCGATCATTAATCAGAATCTTTGTTAGAAGCAGGGAAGCGGGGGGGGGGGGGGGGGGTGTTGTATATCCCACAAACAATGGAGGCAGCCACTAGAGCCGCAGTGAGGTCCCTGAGATGCATAAGTCTGAGTGCTACTGTTGCTCTACAGAGCCCCCACTGCCTAGGTATGGAGCAGCAGCAAGGGTCTTGGTTGGGTTGGAAAGCTTGTGGAGGAAGGCAGCTAGGCAAAATCTATCCCATGCTGTCCAGTGATCACATCTATCTGACCCATCAACACCTTATCAGTGCCTGGCCACAAACTGCCAGCAAAAAGCAGAGAAACAACTTAAGTTGGTGTGGTCTCCTTTTCTCACACCTTGCATGCAGCCCTGCAGTTTCTGGTGCAGAGGAGAGCAGTTGTGGGCCTTGACTGGCATGCAGAAAGATTAGGATGAGCAACGTGAAACCAGTTCCAGGCTCTTTCCCTGATGTCATTTCCTACGAGAGCAAGGAGGCACCTGATGGGCTGCACAACAGGTAAAGAAAAGAAGGTAGTTGTGACTTTTCTGCGTCTGTCATTTGCTCTCTTAGCTCCTCATCCAGCCATGTACAATCCAGTATATGCATTTATTTGTTTTTTGTGAGTTTTGATCAAATTATTGGTGCACAGGGAATTTGTTACCTGTTCTTCCTACAACTGTCATTCAAAGTCTCGACAGATTAAACATTTTGGTATTGCTTACATGAAGAGGCACTGCCTCTGATTAGATCAGCAGCTATAGCTTGGGAGGGAGGATGGCAGACTATTTGTGGGACATGTAATGCTGGCTGGTTCATCTCAAAACTTAAGCTTACTGGATTCATTGATATCAGTGCCAATTCCTGTCTTTGTAAGGCTGGGTCATTCACTTGAGGCAGAGGTCTCCATCTGGGTGATTATTCTTTCTGTGACTGGAAATCAAAGCGGGTACCTCCAAAGGGGAGAGCTGAAGCCATGTTGTCTTGTTCCCAGATGGCTCTGACCTCAGACAAATGATAGCAGCTTGGATTTTCAGCCTCTTCCCATGGCTAGCGTAGTTCACCACAGGAAATCAAAATGAAAGAGAAAACAGTGGATCTCAGGACAGGATCTAACAGTGCTTTTCATCCAGTGTTCATCATGAGAGAAGTTAGGAGGATCACTGATCACATTGCTCAGGGTGGGGAGATGTGTCAGGTAGTGACTTTTTTCCCTCTTAAACATGTGAGGAGAGGGATGCTCTTTCACAGCAACATTTTAAACACATTTACATTTGGAGGAGCGTAGCTTATGCATTTTGTGAAACTCAACTTGTGGTATTGTGGAGTTGCTGTCAGAATTCACCTCACAGTAAACACTGAGAAAGCCCAGACTTGGACACAGCAGGGTGTTGTTGTCGCTGTAGGGAATGTCACTATGCTGGATGGCAGGAGCCACAGGTGTGACTCCCATCTCCAGTTTTCAGTTGTGCTTCTTTTCTTGAATAGTCAGGATTCACCACTGGACGCCTTGACAGGGAGGATCTTTGGATGTGACTTGAAACCGCGTGGGAAGCCAGGAAGGAGGGAGAGTGTATGTAGGTTATCTGTGTTATGAGATCTGCTGCACGCTTTGCGCTCCCTGAGCTGCTTAAGGACTGCTGGCCTCATGCAGTGAGCTGTGTGAGGGCTCTGGCTGAGCTGAAAGCAGCTAAAGGGGTAAGGTCAAACCATTTGCTTCTATATAAGGGCAGTCCCCATGCCCATGAAGAGGGCACATTGGGTTATAATAGCAGCCAAGGGGGCATTTTCTGTGGGACAGCTTAGTACTGCAGGCGATGGACTGATTCTGCTCCAAGTTCCTCTGCCAGGACCTCTGCCAGTCTCTCAGAAGCTTCTCCTATCCATCTGTGTTTCACTGGGGTAAAATGCTTCTGGCAGTAAAGAATTACTGGTGCTAGTGGGTATTTAGGTCACATGCCAGCCACTGGAGCTGGAAGGTAAGGGGCAGTAAGGCCTTGCTTGGCATTTGAGGTAATAAGGTTCTGGTCTGTCATCTCACATGAACTGCAAAGATTTGTAGAGCTGGGGAGTCACAGGGTCATGTTACATGTGCTGTCAGGTCTGACACGGCTCTGGCAGGGCAGACCTTAGTGCTCTCTGAAACCTGTATTTGGGGGTGGTGCAAACCTGGGGTGTGAGCAGCGGTGGGAATCTCCAAGTAGAGCTTGGGGCTATGAAGGACCCACTCATCTGCCACCAGTTCACTGGCCCCTGGCCTCTACCTCCTCCCCAGCACAGAGGCAATCCTGTGTCTCCTGCTTCTGCTGTTTGTTTATAGCTCTCCCCATCCCATCTGTCTTTCTCTTCTCCTTACTCCCCTTCCTTTTCCCTCCCTTTCCCTCCTCCCCCTCATTCCCTGTAAGCGATTAATCATTTTGACAGGCTCAGCGATGGCCTTTATTTCCTTGAGGCGGCCAAGAAATGTCTGTGAGCACCTTCTCTGACACCACTCGTGTTCTCTCACCAATCAGATCAGCCACTTCGCTTGGAGTGACACCACCAGAAATGTGGGGAGGGGAGCAGGGGGGAAACTCCAGCAGAGCCAGCTGGGAAATGGGCAGTGGGGCAGCATCCAGTTGGGGTGCCATGTGGGACCCCATTAGCTGTGATGAATATGTCATTTCACTATAGCTTGCATGTGTCATACTTTGCTCCTTCCCTCTCCCCAGGCTCTCCTTCAAATCTTGGTTTCAGTTCAAGGCAGTTGGGAAGAAATCAGGCTGCTCAGAAAAATATCAGCCTCCAACAGAGTGGCTGGAGGGAAAAGCTGTTGCAGGAGAAGGAAGAGCAGGCTAGGATCATCAGGGGAAAAAGAATGGGGATGATTTTTCAGA